CTCACACTTACCTCCATACATGCCTATCTTCTGCGTCCCACAATTACCTCCATCACTATGGCCTTATGTCTGCTCACACTGTACCTCAAATCATATGCTCTCTTCTGCTCACACTTACCTCCATCATATGCCTTCTTTGGCTCATTCCACTTACTCCATCACTATGCCTCTCTTCTGGTCCATCCACACTTACTCCATCACTATGCTCTATTCTGCCTCTCAACTTACCTCCACACTATGCCTCTTTATGTCCTCCACACTTACCTCAATCATCATATGCCTCTCTTCATGTCTCAACCACACTTTACCTCCATCACTATGCCTCTCTTCTGTCCTCCACACTTACCTCCATCACTATGCCTCTCTTCTGTCCATCCACACTTACCTCCATCACTATGCCTCTCTTCTGTCCATCCACACTTACCTCCATCACTATGCCTCTCTTCTGTCCTCTCACACTTACCTCCATCACTATGCCTCTCTTCTGTCCATCCACACTTACCTCCATCACTATGCCTCTCTTCTGTCCTCCCACACTTACCTCCATCACTATGCCTCTCTTCTGTCTCTCACACTTACCTCCATCACTATGCCTCTCTTCTGTCCTCCACACTTACCTCCATCACTATGCCTCTCTTCTGTCCTCCACACTTACCTCCATCACTATGCCTCTCTTCTGTCCTCCCACACTTACCTCCATCACTATGCCTCTCTTCTGTCCTCCACACTTACCTCCATCACTATGCCTCTCTTCTGCCTCTCACACTTACCTCCATCACTATGCCTCTCTTCTGTCCTCCACACTTACCTCCATCACTATGCCTCTCTTCTGTCCTCCACACTTACCTCCATCACTATGCCTCTTTCTGTCCTCCACACTTACCTCCATCACTATGCCTCTCTTCTGTCCTCTCACACTTACCTCCATCACTATGCCTCTCTTCTGTCCTCCACACTTTACCTCCATCACTATGCCTCTCTTCTGTCCTCCCCACACTTACCTCCATCACTATGCCTCTCTTCTGTCCTCTCACACTTACCTCCATCACTATGCCTCTCTTCTGTCCTCCACACTTACCTCCATCACTATGCCTCTCTTCTGTCCTCCCACACTTACCTCCAATCACTATGCCTCTCTTCTGTCCTCTCACACTTACCTCCATCACTATGCCTCTCTTCTGTCCTCCCACACTTACCTCCATCACTATGCCTCTCTTCTGTCCTCCCACCTTACCTCCATCACTATGCCTCTCTTCTGGTCCTCCCACACTTACCTCCATCACTATGCCTCTCTTCTGTCCTCCACACTTACCTCCATCACTATGCCTCTTTCTGTCCTCCCACACTTACCTCCATCACTATGCCTCTCTTCTGTCCTCTCACATTTACCTCCATCACTATGCCTCTCTTCTGTCCTCTCCACATTACCTCCATCACTATGCCTCTCTTCTGTCTTCTCACACTTACCTCCATCACTATGCCTCTCTTCTGTCCTCTCACACTTACCTCCATCACTATGCCTCTCTTCTGTCCTCTCCACACTTACCTCCATCACTATGCCTCTCTTCTGTCCTCCCACACTTACCTCCATCACTATGCCTCTCTTCTGGTCCTCTCACCACTTACCTCCATCACTATGCCTCTCTTCTGTCCTCTCACACTTACCTCCATCACTATGCCTCTCTTCTGTCCTCTCACACTTACCTCCATCACTATGCCTCTCTTCTGTCCTCCCACACTTACCTCCATCACTATGCCTCTCTTCTGTCCTCTCACACTTACCTCCATCACTATGCCTTCTTCTGTCCTCTCACACTTACCTCCATCACTATGCCTCTCTTCTGTCCTTCCCACACTTACCTCCATCACTATGCCTCTCTTTGTCCTCCTCACACTTACCTCCATCACTATGCCTCTCTTCTGTCCTCTCACACTACCTCCATCACTATGCCTCTCTTCTGTCCTCTCACACTTACCTCCATCACTATGCCTCTCTTCTGGCCTCCTCACACTTACCTCCATCACTATGCCTCTCTTCTGTCCTCTCACACTTACCTCCATCACTATGCCTCTCTTCTGTCCTCCCACACTTACCTCCATCACTATGCCTCTCTTCTGCCTCTCACACTTACCTCCATCACTATGCCTCTCTTCTGTCCTCCCACACTTACTCCATCACTATGCCTCTCTTCTGTCCTCCACACTTACCTCCATCACTATGCCTCTCTTCATGTCCTCCCACACTTACCTCCATCACTATGCCTCTCTTCTGTCCTTCCCACACTTACTCCATCACTATGCCTCTCTTCTGTCCCCCACACTTACCTCCATCACTATGCCTCTCTTCTGTCCTCCCACACTTACCTCCATCACTATGCCTCTCTTCTGTCCTCCCACACTTACCTCCATCACTATGCCTCTCTTCTGTCCTCCCACACTTACCTCCATCACTATGCCTCTCTTCTGGCCTCCCACACTTACCTCCATCACTATGCCTCTCTTCTGTCCTCCCACACTTACCTCCATCACTATGCCTCTCTTCTGTCCACCCACACTTACCTCCACTATGCCTCTCTTCTGTCCACCCACACTTACCTCATCACTATGCCTCTCTTCTGTCCACCCACACTTACCTCCATATGCCTCTCTTCTGTCCACCCACACTTACCTTCATCACTATGCCTCTCTTCTGGCCTCCCACACTTACCTCCATCACTATGCCTCTCTTCTGGCCTCCCACACTTACCTCCATCACTATGCCTCTCTTCTGTCCTCCCACACTTACCTCCATCACTATGCCTCTCTTCTGGCCTCCCACACTTACCTCCATCACTATGCCTCTCTTCTGTCCACCCACACTTACACTCCATCACTATGCCTCTCTTCTGGTCCACCCACACTTACCTCCATCACTATGCCTCTCTTCTGCCTCCCACACTTACCTCCATCACTATGCCTCTCTTCTGGCCCCACACTTACCTCCATCACTATGCCTCTCTTCTGTCCACCCACACTTACCTCCATCACTATGCCTCTCTTCTGGCCTCCCACACTTACCTCCATCACTATGCCTCTTTCTGGCTCCCCACACTTACCTCCATCACTATGCCTCTCTTCTGGTCCTCCCACACTTACCTCCATCACTATGCCTCTTTCTGGCCTCCCACTTACCTCCATCACTATGCCTCTCTTCTGGCCTCCACACTTACCTCCATCACTATGCCTCTCTTCTGGCCTCCACACTTACCTCATCACTATGCCTCTCTTCTGGCCTCCCACACTTACCTCCATCACTATGCCTCTCTTCTGTCCCCCACACTTACCTCATCACTATGCCTCTCTTCTGGCCTCCCACACTTACCTCCATCACTATTGCCTCTCTTCTGGCTCCCACACTTACCTCCATCACTATGCCTCTCTTCTGGCCTCCCACACTTACCTCCATCACTATCCTCTCTTCTGGTCCCCCACACTTACCTCCATCACTATGCCTCTCTTCTGGCCTCCCACACTTACCTCCATCACTATGCCTCTCTTCTGGCCTCCCACACTTACCTCCATCACTATGCCTCTCTTCTGGCCTCCCACACTTACCTCCATCACTATGCCTCTCTTCTGGCCTCCCACACTTACCTCCATCACTATGCCTCTCTTCTGGCCCCAACTTACCTCCACACTATCCTCTCTTTCCACCCACATTACCTCATCACTATGCCTCTCTTCTGTCCACCACACTTACCTCCATCACTATGCCTCTCTTCTGGCCTCCCACACTTACCTCCATCACTATGCCTCTCTTCTGGCCTCCCACACTTACCTCCATCACTATGCCTCTCTTCTGTCCACCACACTTACCTCCAATCACTATGCCTCTCTTCTGGCCTCCCACTTACCTCATCACTATGCCTCTCTTCTGTCCCTCCACACTTACCTCCATCACTATGCCTCTCTTCTGGCCTCCCACACTTACCTCCATCACTATGCCTCTCTTCTGGCCTACCCACACTTACCTCCATCACTATGCCTCCTTCTGGCCTCCCACACTTACCTCCATCACTATGCCTCTCTTCTGGCCTCCCACACTTACCTCCATCACTATGCCTCTCTTCTGTCCTCCCACACTTACCTCCATCACTATGCCTCTCTTCTGTCCCCACACTTACCTCCATCACTATGCCTCTCTTCTGTCCCCACACTTACCTCCATCACTATGCCTCTCTTCTGTCCACCCACACTTACCTCCATCACTATGCCTCTCTTCTGTCCACCCACACTTACCTCCATCACTATGCCTCTCTTCTGCTCCCACACTCATCCATCACTTACTCTCTTCTGTCCACCCACACTTACCTCCTCACTATTCCTCTCTTCTGTCCACCACACTTTACCTCCATCACTTACCTCTCTTCTGTCCACCCACACTTACATCCATCACTATTCCTCTCTTCTGTCCTCCACACTTACCTCATCACTATGCCTCTCTTCTGTCCTCCCACACTTACCTCCATCACTATGCCTCTCTTCTGTCCTCCCACATTACTCCATCACTATGCCTCTCTTCTGTCCACACACTTACCTCCATCACTATGCCTCTCTTCTGTCCACTCACACTTACATCCATCACTATCCTCTCTTCTGTCCTCCACACTTACTCCATCACATGTCCTCTCTTCTGTCCACCACACTTACCTCCATCACTATACCTCTCTTCTGTCCACCCACACTTACATCCATCACTATACCTCTCTTCTGTCCACCCACACTTACCTCCATCACTGTACCTCTCTTCTGTCCACCCACACTTACCTCCATCACTGTACCCCTCTTCTGTCTACCCACACTTACATCCATCACTATTCCTCTCTTCTGTCCTCTCACACTTACCTCCTCTCTACACCTCCAGTCTGTTCTCCTACACTTACCTCCATCACTATGCCTCTCTTCTGTCCTCCCACACTTAACTCCATCTCTACGCCTGCGGTCTGTCCTCCCACACTTACCCTCGTCTTTACGCCCCCAGCCTGTAACATAGCATCTGGCTGGCACTCCTTCCATAAAGTCGTTTTTCTTGGGCATACACACTGCATCTATGTTGCCCTTCCTGCGTGCTGACTTAACCAGCTGCAACAGTGCTATGTCGTTCACCAGCGTCGCGTTGTTGAACTAAAATAAAAAAATAAAGAAAACCACTGATTATGTAATGAATTTCGGGCAAACTAATCATAAAGATCACATGCTTAAATCTAGACCTCGAAGACAACTTGTGTAATTCAATAAAATGCATTGCATACTGATTTTTTTGCGCCTACCATTGCTTTATTACATGTAAATTACATTATTTTGTACCGTATAAGGAAATAAAAAATATATTTTTACAATAAGATAGGCTGAGAATGATAAATGGTCAACTGCAAAGGAATCACACCGTATTTGGATCGGTTCAATGATCTCTATTGCATGGAGTCACTGAATAAGAAGCTGTGAAATTACACCCCTCATGGAAGGTTCCTTGATGTTGGTGAGGGGCTCTTGATTTAGGGAATTGAATCTGTGCTCCAGTTCCCCGAATTAAGCCTGAATGCCTTCCACATCCCCCCCTGGGCGCTGTATAATCCTACGGGTTTAGCGCTTCCCCCTTGATTATAATAATAATAATGTGAAATTACAGCAAGACAAGTGAGTGGCATAACTGCAGGCCAGTGTGTAAGCCGCTGGGTCAGCTGGCTACAATAAGATTCATCCATCTAGGTATATTATACACCATAGGAAGGTTATCATGGGCCCCACCACAGTGCGGCCCATGATAACCCACTATTCTGATTGTTTTTTAGAAATTGTCTGGATGTGCGAGTAGAACCTGAGTTTGGTTTCCAGGGGTCTTCTCAAGAAGACGTCTTCCCAATAACACGTCTTGCCTATCGTTTGGTGTAGTGTTAATCTTAGCTTTGTTTCCAAACATCATACAGAAAGTCTTGTTAATATTTAGTGTGACTTTGTTGCGATGCCAGTAAATATTTCAGCAAGTTGGGTATTTACTGTGTTACTGAGTGCAGCTGCAGCAGCATCTGAAATAACGAAGTTGTGTTATCGTCAAAAAGAATTGGTTAAAGGTCCTGTGATGCATTAAGAAAGTCAATGTAGCTAAGGAATAGCGGAGGACCCAGGACACGACCTTGTGGGAATTCGAGGCTTAATGGATCAGGATGCTGAGGGATAGTCAATAATGGTCGCAGTTTGATGTCTGTTACTTAAACAATATTTCATGTATCAGAGAGCATTTCCTCTTATTCCATAATGTTGTAATTTGAGCAGCAGTTGGGGATAGGAACAGTGAGCTTGTATAGTGACCAGAGAGGTAATCTCAGTGAGCTTGTATGGTGATCAGTGAGGTAATCTCAGTGAGCTTGTATGGTGATCAGTGAGGTAATCTCAGTGAGCTTGTATGGTGATCAGTGAGGTAATCTCAGTGAGCTTGTATGGTGATCAGTGAGGTAATCTCTAAGCTGGGGAGGAGAGTTAGGGATTTAAGAAGCTAGATGTGTTCCAACTTAGGACAAGAAGCCATTAAATTTTGTTGTTGTTGTCGAGACTTGGACTGGAAGTTCAATAAGCTTAAAACTGTTCCTTTGGATTTACTGAACTTATTATTGACCAATAACTGAGCAACATATCTTAATACAATATATATCTTAATATAATGATATCTATCTTAATACAATGGTATCTACCTTAATAAATGGTATCTACATTAATACAATGGTATCTACCTTAATACAATGGTACCTACCTTAATACAATGGTATCTACCTTAAAAATGGTATCTACATTAATACAATGGTATCTACCTTAATACAATGGTACCTACCTTAATACAATGGTATCTACCAAAAAAATGGTATCTACATTAATACAATGGTATCTACCTTAATACAATGGTACCTACATTAATACCATGATAATTGTAACCTTGAATACTTCTCAACAAATCTGTCTCGTGTATTTCTAGAGTAATTTTCACGCTATATTTAGCGAATATGTCACCGGTTCATCAAGGAGGATTATATTTGTGTGTGTGTGTGTGTTTGTTTCCATTTTTGTATTCCTTGGTCATATCTCCTCTAGTTCTTAAACTGTTCCAGCAACCTGCTTACTGTACCTTACCAGGTCGATAGCACCTCCCACGCCCACTCCCACACTTCCTCCAACGCCCACTCCCACACTCCCTCTCACGCCTCCCTCACACTTCCTTCCACGCCCCCTTCCACACTTCCTTCTATGCCCCTTCCCACACTCCCTCCCAAGCCCTCTACCACACTTCCTCCAACGCCCACTCCCACACTCCCTCCCACGCCTCCCCCACACTTCCACGCCCCCTCCCACACTCCCCTCCCCTCGTTAGAGAAGGTCAATATAAGTTCATAAATTGTCTAAGTAATTAGAAGCAGCGAGGACCCTGATAGTAACGACCATCTTACAAACTACAACTCGCTCTAACTACATTCATACCTGCCACTTAAGACAACTGTCTCAAGGATACACACCTGGGTATTGACCTGGGGGTTGATAACTCACCTGGGGGTGGATAACTCACCTGCGGATGGAAAACTCACCTGGGGATGAATAACTCACCTGGGGGTTGATAACTCACCTGGGGGTGGATAACTCACCTGGGGATGGATAACTCACCTGGGGGTGGATAACTCACCTGGGGGTGGATAACTCACCTGGGGGCGGATAACTCACCTGGGGATGGATAACTCACCTGGGGTGGATAACTCACCTGCGGATGGAAAACTCACCTGGGGATGGATAACTCACCTGGGGGTGGATAACTCACCTGGGGATGGATAACTCACCTGTGGATGGATAACTCACCTGTGGATGGATAACTCACCTGGGGGTGGATAACTCACCTGGGGATGGATAACTCACCTGGGGATGGATAACTCACCTGCAGATGGATAACTCACCTGCAGATGGATAACTCACCTGGGGATGGATAACTCACCTGGGGGTGGATAACTCACCTGCAGATGGATAACTCACCTGGGGTGGATAACTCACCTGGGGGTGGATAACTCACCTGGGGGCAGATAACTCACCTGGGAATGGATAACTCACCTGGGGTGGATAACTCACCTGCGGATGGATAACTCACCTGGGGGTGGATAACTCACCTGGGGATGGATAACTCACCTGGGGATGGATAACTCACCTGCAGATGGATAACTCACCTGCAGATGGATAACTCACCTGGGGATGGATAACTCACCTGGGGGTGGATAACTCACCTGCAGATGGATAACTCACCTGGGGGTGGATAACTCACCTGGGGGTGGATAACTCACCTGGGGGCAGATAACTCACCTGGGAATGGATAACTCACCTGGGGTGGATAACTCACCTGCGGATGGATAACTCACCTTGGGGTGGATAACTCACCTGGGGATGGATAACTCACCTGGGGATGGATAACTCACCTGGGGGTGGATAACTCACCTGGGGATGGATAACTCACCTGGGGTGGATAACTCACCTGGGGTGGATAACTCACCTGGGGATGGATAACAACACGGGTGACAGGAAATTCCTCGTGTTTAAGAGGCTCTGCTGTAGTACTAACATCGTACTCTCCCAGGCGAACCTTCAGCACTCCAGGCAGACGATCACCATACTCCAGGCTGACCAGGGAAGACAAGTCACACTTAATAATAATAATAATAATCTTTATTTCTACAAGCTCATGATACAACTTATACCTAACTGACATCAGTGACATACCATATAGAAAGCCCAAGGTTATTCAGAGCATTTCGGGGAACTTGGGTTAATCTTGTCCGCCAGGATGCGATCTACACTAGTCGACTAACACCCAGGTATCTACTTGCTGCTATGTGAATAGGGACAGAAGGTGTAAGGAAACACGCCCAATATTTTCACCCGTACCGGGAATCGAACCACGGACACTCAATGTGTGTGCTGAGTGTGCTACCAACCGAGCTACGGGAGACTTAGCTGGGAAGTTAGCTTTGTGGAATATAGTGAGGGGTGACGGGCTTAGCTTTGTGGGAGACGGAGGAGGGATTATAACTTTGTGGGTGAGTGGGAAGAGGGCAGTGCCAGCCAGGAATCCACAATAAATTAATGTTAGAATAGGTTAAAATACCCTTGGTCAGTTTTAAAAGTTAACTGGAGTAATGTAAAATAAAAGAATAAAAATTCACGGAGTCCCGACAGGCATCTCGGTAATTATATAAAGAAACTGACCATACACAGAAACAATAAATGACAGAGTCAACACCATAAGGTAATATACACTGAGAGATGTATATTTCAGTACATACTGAGATATACATCAAGAGGGTTCTAAATCTCTTGAGGGAGTTTAGAAACAAGTCTTCTGCTTCATCAGGGTTTAAAGGTTGAATTACTCTGCCTCTTACGTGGGTCGAGATACCTGGAACAAAGATTAAGGGATACCGGGGATGCCATTCTCAGATCCACCAGCGATCGAAATTTATTCTCTATTATTATATTCACAAGAAAGCGTTTTTGGGCGTTTTATGGGCCGAATGGGTCGCAAAACGCTATTAGCTTTGTAAAACAAGTGAAGTTTGTTTTAGGTGAGTGGGGAGACGAGGGTTAAACCTTGTAGTATTGTGAGAAGGTTAATTAACTTGTATATTTTTAGGGATGAGAGAATCTGGGCATCCATTATAATGTAACATGAACTGATGTGGGAACTTTAAAACACTAATTTAAACAAAATGTGTTGTGATCGAACGAGATTGAAAGGGAAGAAGAGTAATGGAGGAAGAGGAGAAGGAAAGATTAGGAAAGAGTAAGAAGGAGGAGGAAAGAGGAGGGAGGAAGAAAGAGGTATAACTTACTAATCATCAACACAGTGAGCAGCAGTAAGGACCCAAGCTTCGTCCAACAAGGACGCTCCACACACGTACAAGTCCTGTGGCTGCTCCAAGATGGCTGCCTGCAAAACAACTCACATGAGAAAAACAAACAAACACGAGAACTGATAAATACGTGTAAATAGACGACAAACTGGATTAATGCAACAAAAATTGAAACACTACAAAGATGAAGAATAAAATAATCCGAGTATATAACAATAGTCATTGTATACGTAGAAATGACGGGATCAAAATGGCGTACCGTCCTCAATAACACAGACACGTTGAAGACCCTAACATCGTCTTAATAATTTTAGAAATGGTTCTGAAAACCGACAAGCTGATGAGTGAGATACATCTCGTCTCCCACCAGCATGATACAGTGTTTGTACAGTGATGGGTGACATTTAGTTGTACACACAGAAAGCCCATACTTATGACAGCATTTCGAGCTGAAGAAGCCACTGGCGGGCGAAACGTTTCCACAATAAAGATACCCAAATGTTGCACAAGTGTCTCATTCATCAAAACGTCTCAATAAAATCTTGTTTCACAACTTGTCTTTTCTTCAGACAAATAACTAGAAAAACAATACTCGAAAACAAAAGCAAGAAAGGTGTCTCTCACAGATTAATATTTTAAAACAAAAAAGACACCTTGGTATATATAAATATTTTCACATTTTTTAAGATTTCCACCATATTCAGAAAATTTCAGTTCTACTACCAAAATTAAAATAGCTTTGGTGTAAAACAATATTAATTCAATAATAAAAAAAATGCCTCTTTGAAATATGGGGGGGGGGGGAATAAGGAATATTTTGCCAGTATTGAAAAAATGCCCCAACGAAGGCCTTTCAAACTACTGTTGTTTTAAAAACAAAAGAAAACATCAATAAAAGTGCACAAAACGACATAAGTCCAAACAGCTGGTGGCTGTTGTTTACGGCTTTTACTACCAACATAATCCAACATTATGTTAGATAAACAGGTCACATAAAATGCCACATTTGTTGTACATGTGTGTTCTTCCACCAAACATAATGTTGGTAGTCAGATATATCTAACACATTGCGCTACGCAGCATTTCTTTAAAAATTTAATGGATACAGAAACAGCATTAACTTCGGTTTTGTCTTTCATAAATGACTAGTTTGAAAGATCCAAAACATAGAAATGAAAACAAAATTATTGTTGTAGATGAGGCATCGTTTCTGTAAGAAAATAATTAATGTCCTACTAGGAAAAATGCCTTAAATATGTGTGTGACTAAGGGGGTCCCCAAGGCTCAGTACTGTCCCTCAAGGTGGTCTTAATTTCCATAACTTATCAGTAGAAATATGTAAGAATATTACCACAGTAGATAATAACCACTTACCAGGGTTACTCAGACATACCAGGGTCACTCAGACATACCAGGGTCAATCAGACATACCAGGGTCACTCAGACATACCAGGGTCACTCAGACATACCAGTCACTCAGACATACCAGGGTCACTCAGACATACCTGGGTCAATCAGACATACCGGGATCACTCAGACATACCAGGGTCACTCAGACATACCAGTCACTCAGACATACCAGTCACTCAGACATACCAGGGTCACTCAGACATACCTGGGTCAATCAGACATACCGGGATCACTCAGACATACCAGGGTCACTCAGACATACCAGTCACTCAGACATACCAGTCACTCAGACATACCAGGGTCAATCAGACATACCGGGATCACTCAGACATACCAGGGTCACTCAGACATACCAGTCACTCAGACATACCAGTCACTCAGACATACCAGGGTCACTCAGACATACCTGGGTTACTCGGTGATAACCACAAGAAGTAATAACTCACATGCAGGGCCACTCAGACATCTCTGCCTGGCCCTCCTTCTTGGTGTCTGCTCCTTTAGTGCCACAAGACTTCTTGGTGTTTCGGAGAGGCAAGATACCGATGGGACTGGCATTGAGAGGCACGAAGCAACACACACTAGAGGCACTCAGCCCACAGTAACTGTATGGGTGACCTCCGCTGTGGGAGAATAACACTACATTAGAGTGTAAGACAGACATATTCTGATGTAATGTGATGCGCTAAACCCTAGTGGCTCATGTTGAGCAAAGAGTGCTGTGGTGATCAATTCACTGGCTCCTGCTGCTGCCTGCCCACACAGTCTGAAATCTCAAGTTTGTATTGGGGGTACATGAATAGGACATGCAAACAGTTGGGACGTGTTATGTGTTGTGATGCTCCCACCTTCACGGAAGCCCCTTCTTCATCCTCTTATTATCCCTAACAGTGTAGGGCGTAACATATCAACGGTAAAGATACTAACTGTTGCATTCTATGTCTTACTCTTACTTGTCGGTACTGTATGACATTTTCCAGCATTATATCAGTTCGCGTTTAAGAGGAATGAAGGCTGTGTGAAATAAAAGGTAATTTAAAGCACACGAGTGGGATCGGATTTGTCTCTATGTGACTTTGGACAACTGGGAGTCTTAATACAAGGATTCTTTCCATTTCGCTGAAAATAATCAATTGCCGGGGATAACATACAGCTCTGAAACTGTCATTTTCCTTCTTTAAATGAGTCAGTTGGGTTCCACAGTTTTAGCTTAGTAAGGAGGTACTGGTTTGGGAATAGAGTCGGTAGATGGACTAAATCTAGCCAGGTAGCGTCACTGAAGCCTGGATTTGGGGGGTAGCTCGAAATGTAGGTTGGATGGGTGTGTGTGATGATGGTTGTGCCTAGCATGGCCAGTAGACTTTGGCGTACAAATGATAAATAAGTACACCATGCAGCAGTGGTTCTGAAGAAGACAGCTGGCTGGCGAACGTATCAGGAATACAAGATTCTCAAGTGTTTTCCCACAGGTGTCTTATTTATCATCTTCGTCAGTTTTCTAAGCTATTTAATTACTGCTACAGTGTTTCTTGAAGCTTATGTTCTCAGTGTGCTTGTCAGCTGCTGCTGATGCTCAGATGTGTGAACCCATGTCACTCATTGTTTACACTCTTTGATGACGCTACCCCCCGGTAATATGTAAAACCTTAATTTTAACCTGCCATTCAAAACAGCACGAAACACTAGGATTTTTTAAAACAAACACACGTTGCATCCTGCCAAAATCTACCAAATTATCTGCACTCAATTGTTACCAACATTTTTATTGCATAAAGATGTGACATTGGGCATGTTGCTGTGAATGAATAAACTGTTAAGTTGGAATGACGCTTAGTTAAGACAGATTAAGTTGGTTGGGCTACAGACTGTGTTGACAGTGTGCAACATCAAGTGTTGCACTCCACTCCATCTTTGCACTCGCTAGTTGTTAAAAGAGTTAGTAACAGATGTATACTTGGACAAAGCGTTAACAGCGGACACTTTGTGTCTGTTATTAGGATTATTCTAGGTTGGGGCTATTGCAAGCACTTAACATTAGACTTTGAACATTCAAACGCGCTATGCCTGATAGACACTTACAATAAGTGTGAACAACTCAGGCCACTAACTTGACACTCTAACTATGCCTCTCTGTGATAAAAAAAAAAAAAAGGTTAGGTCTTGCTTCTCTTGGCATCATATCAATTCTCTTCGTCTTGTTCCTTTGATTGATATGAACCAACAGACTTATGAGGAGCACTGAGGATCACAACTCATTTCGTGTGTGTGTGTGTGTGTGTGTGTGTGTGTGTGTGTGTGTGTGTGTGTATGTGTGTGTGTGGTGTGTGTGTACTCACCTAGTTGGGGTTTGGGTAGGGTCGATTCTTTAGCTCCTGGCCCGCCTCTTCACTGGCCGCTACTGGGTCACTCTCCCTGCACCTGAGCTTTATCATTACCTCGGGTTTAAATGCCATGTATGGACCCTGCCTCCACTACATCGTTCCCAAACTATTCCACTTCCTGACTACTCTGTGACTGAAGAAATATTTCCCTTTAACTTTCCTGTGATTCATCTGTGCCCTTCAATTTCCCGTGTCCTCTTGTGCTGTGTTCATCTCTGGAACATTTTGTCTCTGTCCACCTTGTCAATTCTTCTCAGTATTTGTATGTCGTTATCATGTCCCGCTATCTCTCCTGTCCTCCAGTGTCGTCAGGTCAATTTCCCCTTAAAACCTCTCCTGTAGGACACATTCCATATCTCTGGGACTAGTCTTGTTGCAAACCTTGCACTTTCTCTAGTTTCTTTACATGCTTGGCTAGGTGTGGGTTCCAAACTGGTGCCCCATACTCCAATATGGGCCTAACGTACACGGTATACATGGTCCTGTGTGTGTGTGTGTGTGTGTGTGTGTGTGTGTGTGTGTGTGTAAAAATATCACACATGTTTGAAAGCATTCACAAGTAAATATAATCTCAATTACCCGCCCGTCAATCACTGACGTCACGAAACTATTTAAAAAACATCAATTTAACATTTGCTATTCATCGTTGTTTAAATTTAATATTACACCATAAATTATATAATAATTACAATTACATTAAAAATTACATTAATAATAATGCAGTAGAGGTATGAGGCTACTGCATAAATATCGGAATTAATGTATTTCATACAACAATGTTATACACAGTGTATATACAAGGGGTGGATAGGGAAGCCAGCGGAAGGCTCAGTCAGATGACCACAAGGAAACGCACGCATGAAAAAGAATACAAATGAGTGAGAAAGCACATGAACAGATAACACAAATGAACAAAGCAAACATGAATAAAAAATGTGCACGAACATAATGCTCACGTATAAACCCCACACATGAAGCTGTGTCAGGAAACACTTGTCCTGTTTCCTGATAAACCTTACCTACCTCCCTTAATATTGAGAGGTGTATGTCTCACTGAGAGTTTACTGTAGTCTAAAATGTATTCTAGGTGTAACAGTGTTCTTGACTGGAGGTGAACAGGTTATATGCAACCTTAATGAATCTTTTGTAGTCGATAGCTTTTACTTCCCATTAACTAATGACCGGTTTATTTACAGTGTATATACCCCGAGATATATATATTTATATATATATTATATATATATATATATATATTTATATATATATATATATATATTTTATTTATTTTATATATATTATATATATATATGTATATATACACATGCTTAACAAATTTCGCAACATGGCGAAATTATTTAAAAAACATTATCTTTTAAGTCCACAGCAGGACGGGAAACCCTACACACTCTACATCAATGTACATAGTACCTTCTCCACTCGGCCAGACCCCAGAGAGAGAGAGAGAGAGAGAGAGAGGGGAAAAGAGGAAGACGAGAGAGAGAGGGGAAAGAGAGATACACCAAGGTGTGCGCGTCTACTGAAATATGTTTATTCCTCAGTTTGTATACAGTGAATATATTTTTTAAACCCTTTTTTCAAGGATTAAAGTTTTCTTCTTTGGTGATGTGAAGGTAAAATGTGATCTTATTGACCCCCGTGTAGTTGACAGGTTTTATGCTAAAACTCACCCCACTAAGTGTGCCCAGCCACCCCTACCATCACCCCCCTCACACACACACCATCCCTGCCCAGCAGTACGGACCAAACAGGTCCAGGTCTCACCTTGTGATACAGGTCCAATACTCCCTACAATGACAGCCAAACTCGTTCTCCTGCTCGTTTTGCGCCCTCACCTTCACCATTTACCACCACCATCACCGCCACCATCACCGCCATGCCACCTCCAGACACACGATCCTGTGGGACAAAACAGAAGAGGAAAAAGAGTGAAATGTTCCCGGGGAAATCGTTGTAGAGAGCTGTACTATTGTTAACTAAAATGTTGAAGAAAAAGGCAAATATTACCATGAAACAAGACTGTGAACTGTACGGGCAACACTACGATGAGAGTATTTTAGTCACTGTGGAGACAATTATTTCCCAAAACGCGTTTGCCCCCCGTCCCTGTCTTCAATGATCAGTGACAATTTTTCCCCAAAATTGCACAGTTCCCAGTCCCCTGTATCTCAATGATCAGTGACAATTATCCCAATATTGCACAGTTCCCAGTCCCCTGTATCTCAATGATCAGTGACAATTATCCCAATACTGCATAGCCCCCAGTACCCTGTATCTCAATGATCGTGACAATTATCCCCAAAACTGCATAGCCCCAGCCCCTGTACCTCAATGATCAGTGACAATTATCCCAATATTGCACAGCCCCCAGTCCCTGTACTTCAATGATCAGTGACAAATTTTCCCCGTATTGCATAGCCCCCAGTCCCCTGTACCTCAATGATCAGTGATAATTATCCGAATATTGCAAGCCCCAGTCCCCTGTACTTCAATGATTTAGTGACAATTATCCCAGTTTTGCATAGCCCCCCGTCCCCCGTACCTCAAAGATCAGTGAAATTTTCCCAGATTGCATGCCCCCCCGTCCCCTGTACCTCAATGACGGACAATTTCCCCGTATTGCATAGCCCCCCCCCGGGACCCTG